AGAGCCACAAGGACTGATGGTAATCTAAGTCCCAGTTTCTATAGGGCAGGTATGGACACTTCTTTCACTTAATCCCCTGCTCCAAACCCCTGAGCCGATTCACTTCTGGAACCTGCTTGGGACAGCTCCTGGCACATTATGGGTGCTGGTCAAGCATTCGCTGAGTGAGTGAATGAGTGCATGAATGAGTGAATGCAAGAGCTGCTGACCACTGTACTCCTCAGGTCAGCCAGATGCCCTGCTTCCAGGGTCTACCCCTCACTCACCTCAGGACCCCACCTGAACCTCTGGAATTGAGTTGCCCCACTCTCCCCTCTATGAAATGGGCTTGACTCCCGCTCAAGCGCCTCCATTTGGGGCATTGTAGGGCCACAGATCCCAGAATGTAAGAGGTAGAGGTAGCCCAGAAAGCTTCCTGCCCACCCTACAAATGGGGAAATTGAGGCCTGGAGAGGGGAAGGGCCCAACCAGGACAAGAACTGGGCTTCCCATCTGCAGCTTGAGTCTCCACCAGGGTTTCCCTAAAACACATTCTGCTGTCACTCTGTACCCTGAGCTTGGAAAACCTGAGTCACACAAGGACAAGGAATTTTCCTTCCCACTTCCAGAGGCCTCCGAACCTTGGGACGTGGGGATGCAGGCAGGACCGCAGGCTGATATTAGGGGAGTGCTGCAGGACAGCCCTGCCCGTGTATCTGTCTGTCTTGGCCAGCCCTGGGGACCCAAGGTCAGGGAGGAAGCGCTGCAGCTGGTCTTCCCCAGAGCGGAGAGCCGAGGGTGGGACTGCGTGTGGCCCGGGACAGCCCCTCCCCTCCTTCGTCCCCACCCCCCAAACCCTCTTAATGAAATCAAGCTGGCCCCACAGCCCAGCCAGGAGGAGGAAGGAGGAGGGCTGGGAGGAGGGAGGGCGGACAGGCGCCACCCCGAGCAGCCCTGGGCACCATGCAGACTCTCTCCCGGGCTAGGCGCCCTCAGCACTTGCTCCACCTGGTGGGAGCACCCCAGCTTGTACGCAGAGGATCTGGTGAGTCCTAGGGTCCCCTCCTCTTCTGTACTGAGCACCTGGGGCCCTATTGGGGTTCAGGGGAGGACGTGGTCGGAGCACTTTGCCCACGTCTCTAAGTGTGTGTGAGCTCTCAGTGTACATTTGATGTCGAGTGCACACGTGTGATGGAATGCGTATGCGGCTCTGGGGCTGGCCGGGGGCTGTGTTGAGTGTGAGGAGTTAGGGCCTTGGTGGAGGGGTGTGCTGTTCTCTGGAGGGGGACACCAGGGTGTTGCTTCCAGGATCCGTGTGAGGGGAAGGGTGGTGTGGAGCGTGTGGGTACCGACTGTGTGTCCTGGGGTTGCGTGTGAGCACGTGTTGTGTGTCTGTGTGTTCTCTGTGTCTTGTGCCGTGGGCTGTGTGAGCTCTCTTGAGTGTCTCAGTGTCGTGTGAGTCCATGTGCCTGTGTTGTGTGTCTGGGTATTGTATGACCCTGATGCTGTGTCTATGGAGTGTGTGCCCCCATATCGTGTGTCCGTCTGCTGCTGCTGTGTGTGTGTGTGTGTGTGTGTGTGTGTGTGTAGATTTTGTGCCTTCTAGACCCCCTTCCCTGTCCAGACCTCCAGGGGCCCAGGTCCCTGTTCTTGGCTGGCCCCAGGGTGGGGGTGCAGTGCTCCAGCCAGAGTCCCCCTCCCCCTGCCCATGACCACTAATTGGAGCCAGGTTTCTGTGGGCTGCCCCTCCCCCCAGTCACCAATCTCTGAGTGGGGGTGGGGCAGCCACTCTGGCACCTCAGCCTCAGATCTTGGGGTACCCAGGACTTAGGGGTGGCCTGCATCCATCCACACACTCATCCACACCGTTGGGCATTTACCACATTTGAAAATAGTGAGTGTGACAGTCTCCAAGTGGGGAGTCTGGGGCCATCACATAGTGCCCATTGACTGACAGGACACCTGCGATGTGCCGGGCACTGCTCTGCTTTGTCCTCACGATAGTCCATGGAGGTGGCTGGACTATCCCCATTGTACAGACTGTGGGACTCGAAGCTCAGAGAGGTGACATTTCTGGTCCCAGCACACAGAGCTGGGAAGTGACCTCTTTCTGGAGAGTCTAAGAGAGGTCTGGATTCGACCTGACTTACTGGGCCTGTGTTTCTTCTGGGCTGAAATGAGAGAGCTGATCCCAGCTCCTAATGGCTTGTGAGATTCTGCGTCCCTGAAAAAAGTAAGCCCTGGGACACTAGGCCACCCTCCTCCCAGGAGGTGGGGACAGCTGGCAGACAGAAAGATCAGGACAGTTCTTCTATTCTGCTGGTGGGAAACTGAGGCTTAGAGAGGGTCACACAGCTGTCTCTTGGGAGACCCTGCTGGCTGCAGATGGAGCTGCATCCCATACTTTGCCTCCATTCTTTTCAGGGGATTGGGAGGAGATGGG